CATCCCGGAGCAGCCGGGGAGCGTTTAACCCCTGCCTGGCTGTGCCCCGTGCTGGGGCTGCACCCCAACTGTGCTGAGCCCCTCCCCAGCTCCAGGGGTGCACCCTGAAAGTGCTGAACCCCCCTGCCCTGCATGCCAGGGGTGCACCCGACTGTGCTGACCCCCCCCCCCCATGCCAGGGGGGAACCCCAACTGCACTGAACCCCTCCCTGCCCAGGCTGTGCTAGGACAGGGCCAAGGCTTGACCTGGGGGATTTGGGCACCTCCCGCAGGGCCCTAGGGGACGGGGGTGCTTCTGGGGTGCAAGAGGCACATCTTCCATGTTTTGGGGTGCAGGAGGGGAACAGGCATGTTCCATGAGGTTTTGGAGTGCAGGGTACTGGCTGTGTCCCCTGTGCTGTCAGGGTCTGCTTGTTACAGGGACAAAGGCAGCGCTGGCCTTGGGGATGTCCTCCACTGGGGGACCACGGGGTGCCAGCTGGGTGCCACTGTGCCTGTCCCCTCCTGGGGGGGCCATGCTTTGGCTGGGGGTGGTGGGTTACCCTGGGCCTGTGGGGGTTACCCTGTATGCACAGGTGTCACACTGTACATGTGTGAGTGAGTGTGTGGCACTGGCCCCCCCAGGCTGGCCCTGCATCCTCTGTCCCCCTCATCCACTGGAAGCAGTGCAGCCTGGGCTGGGGGCTCCTGGGATCCCGGCCCTTTTCTTTGTGTTTTTTTTTTTTTTTCTTTTTTTTTTTTTTGTCTGCCTGAATTCCACATCGTCTCTGTGACCTGGAAATGTCACGTTGCATCTTCCCAGCACGCGTCCTCTCCCCGCTGGCCCCGCTCGACCTGGCGCCAGGGCCGGGCTGGGCAGCGCGGGGCTGGGGCTGCCGGGACCCCTGCAGCTGGGGGGTGCGGCGAGGGGGGTCCCTGCCCGGGGGGCTCCGTGCCCTGAGTGCTGCCCCTTCCCCACAGCCGTCGAGACGCAGAGCACCAGCTCGGAGGAGATCGTGCCCAGCCCTCCCTCGCCCCCACCCCTGCCCCGCATCTACAAGCCCTGCTTCGTGTGCCAGGACAAGTCCTCGGGGTACCACTATGGGGTCAGCGCCTGCGAGGGCTGCAAGGTGAGCGCTGCCACCGGCCCCGACTGCCACCACGGCTCCCCGGGCTCCTCGGGGTGCTCGGGGTGCCCGTGCCGGGCGCTGACCGGGGCGTGCGGGGTCCCCAGGGCTTCTTCCGCCGCAGCATCCAGAAGAACATGGTGTACACGTGCCACCGGGACAAGAACTGCATCATCAACAAGGTGACACGCAACCGGTGCCAGTACTGCCGGCTCCAGAAGTGCTTCGAAGTCGGAATGTCCAAGGAGTGTGAGTGGGGATGGGAATGGGGACACGGATGGGGATGGGATGAACACCAGGGATGGGATGGGACAACGTGCCTGGTGTCCTGGTCAGGGGGCTCTGGGTGGGATGGGCCATCCCAGCAGCCCCCACCGTGTGCCCAGCAAGGCCCGGGGGGGGATGGGGACCCCCTGGGATTGTGTCACAGCCTGGCAGTTGCCTGGGCAACACATGATTGATAATGTCAGAGATAAATGACACTGAGGAGGCCTCCCGGCTCCGCTGGCAGTTGTCATGGTGCCCGGCTGTGCCCCCGCGGTGGGTGCCCGGGGGGATAGGGCTGCTGAGGCACAGCTGAGTCCTGCCCCATCTGCCAACCCCTGGGGGACTGGGACCCCTGGGAGGAGCTGGCAGAGCCTGGGGGGCCTGGAAGTGCCAGGGTGGTTCAGCATCCCAGGGGCTCACTCTGCACCTACGAGGGGTCCTGGCCCTCTCAGCCCACAGAGGCTGATCCCTGCAGGGCTGGGGCTCCTCCCAGCTGTTCCCCCCTTCCCAGCTGCCACCCCCAGGGTCCCTCCCGTGCCCTTCACTCAGTGTGGTGGCTCAGCTGCCATTCTCTGTCCCGGGGTCCCTTTCTGATGTGTTGGCTTTGCAGAGCACTGTCCCCTTGGCGAGGGGTGTGGGCCCCCCAAGGGTGCAGGGTCTAAACAATGACTTGGCGGGTTGTTTAAAGGAATCTGTGGGGCTGATGGCTCCACTGGGAGCAGCTTGTCACTACAGCTGAGCCCATTGCTGGTGGCAGGTCCCCATCCTGCCCTGAGCATGGTGGGGCAGGGGCTGGGTGACACCTGGGCCAGGTGACACTGACCCTGCCATTCCTGCAGCCGTCCGCAATGACCGGAACAAGAAGAAGAAGGACGTGCCCAAGCCGGAGTGCTCGGAGAGCTACATCATCACACCCGAGGTGGAGGAGCTCATCGAGAAGGTGCGCAAAGCCCACCAGGAGACCTTCCCCGCGCTCTGCCAGCTCGGCAAATACACTACGGTGAGTGCCACGGGGTCCCGGGGGTCCTGGGGGGCTGAGGAGGGTGGCAACCCCCCCGTGCCCTCATGCCCCATCTCCTGCCACAGAACAACAGCTCGGAGCAGCGCGTGTCCCTGGACATCGACCTGTGGGACAAGTTCAGCGAGTTGTCCACCAAGTGCATCATCAAGACGGTGGAGTTTGCCAAGCAGCTCCCCGGCTTCACCACGCTCACCATCGCCGACCAGATCACCCTCCTCAAAGCCGCCTGCCTCGACATCCTGGTGAGCACGGGGACAGGGACGGGGACAGGGACGGGGAGGGGACACCAGGCTGAGCTCCCCGCCCTGTCCCCACCAGATCCTGCGGATCTGCACGCGCTACACGCCGGAGCAGGACACCATGACCTTCTCGGACGGGCTGACGCTGAACCGCACGCAGATGCACAACGCGGGGTTCGGGCCCCTCACCGACCTGGTCTTCGCCTTCGCCAACCAGCTGCTGCCGCTGGAGATGGACGACGCCGAGACGGGGCTGCTCAGTGCCATCTGCCTCATCTGCGGAGGTGGGTGCAGGGATGGGCACCTGCCCAGTGCCCGCGGGCCCCCGGTGCAGCCCGGCCGTCCTCCCCCAATGGCTGAGCAAAGAGACCCCAAATGAAGCCCAAGCGGTGGGAGCTGGGAACCCACAGGATGGTGAGGAGGATGTGCTGTTCCCCCCAACCACTGTGTGCCCCCTCCCCAGACCGCCAGGACCTGGAGCAGCCTGACAAGGTGGACAAGCTGCAGGAGCCACTGCTGGAGGCACTGAAGATCTACGTGAGGAAGAGGAGGCCCAACAAGCCCCACATGTTCCCCAAGATGCTCATGAAGATCACAGACCTGCGCAGCATCAGCGCCAAGGGTGAGGCTCCTGCAGCTTTGGGTCCTGAGGGAGCATCCAGGGGACACTGGGGGGACCGGGTCACTCAGCATCCTCCAGAGGGGATGAAGAAGAGGACACACCCAGCACTGCATCTTCCACGGATGCTGGGGATGTGACCATGTCCCTTGTCCTCAGTGTCCAGGGAAAAGCAAAAATGGGGGTGTGAGGTTGAGGGTGATGCTTTCAGGGTGCTGTTTTGGCAGTGTCACTTCTTGTATGCCATTTTGGGGGTACTGGTTTTGGGGTGCCACTTTCAGGCTGCTGTTTTGGGCATGCTGTTTTTTGGGCACCTATTTGGAGGGGTGCCAGTTTTAGTGTGCCATTTTGGTGGTGTCTTTTGTGCGTGCCATTTTGGGCATTTTTTTGGGTACCATTTGACAGTGCCACGTTCAGGCTGCTGTTTTGGGCATGCCTTTTTTTGAGTGCCAGTTTTTGGGCACCCATTTGGGAGGATGCCAGTTTTAGTGTGCTATTTTGTTGCTGCTATTTGGTGTTTTTTGGGTGCCTTTTGGTGGTGCCATTTTGGGGTTTTTTTGAGTACCATTTGGGGGTGCCACTTTCAGGGTGCTGCTTTGGGCACGCCATTTTTTGGGCACCCATTTCGGGTGGCGTGCCAGTTTTAGTGTTCCATTTTGGCGCTGCCATTTGGGGTTTTTTTTTGGGTATCATCTGGGGGGGGTGTGCCGCTTTCAGCTCGCCAAATTTGGGAGCGCCACTTCGTATCAGCACCCTGCTGACCCTGACCCTCCCCCAGGCGCCGAGCGGGTGATCACGCTGAAGATGGAGATCCCAGGCTCGATGCCTCCGCTCATCCAGGAGATGCTGGAGAACTCGGAGGGCATGGACACGCTGGGGGGGCAGGCGGGCGGCCCCCGCGGGGGCAGCCTGGGCCCCCCCCCGGGCAGCTGCAGCCCCAGCCTTTCTCCCAGCTCCAACCGCAGCAGCCCGGCCACGCACTCGCCGTGACCCGCGCCCGGCGCGCACCAGGACAGAGCCCGGCATGGGGGGACCCCCCACGCCCGGCCCGGCTGCAGCCCCCCCCCCCGGGGCGGACTCCTCGGCAGCCCCCGCCGGAGCGGCCCCCGCGGGGACCCCCCCAGCCCCGGGCCCAGCGCGTTGGTTGTGTCACATTTCAGGGGCGCGGGGGCCTCGGCCGCGGCCCCGGGGACGCCCCGGCCCCACCAGCACCAGCACCCACGGGATCGCGACCACCGAGCCACCCCCCCTCCCCCGGCCGTCTGCAGGGGGGGGCCCGGCCAGCCCCGCACGCCGAGGAAGCAGAGTCATTTAAAAGAGAAAAGAAAGCAAAGTATATATATATAAATATCTATAAATATCTATAAATACGTTTTAAAACCTTTGTAAAAGTTTGGAGGGGTTTTTAGGCCTGTGCAGGTGGAGGGGGCACGGCGGGCGCTGCCGGGGGAGGTATTAAATTCCTTTTTTTTTTGTTGTTGTTGTTGAGATTTTAGTGGATTTAGAGTCGGGGGGCACCGGGCGGGCCCTGCCCCGGCCCCCCAGGCGGGGAGGGGACTGTGGGGGGCACAGGGTGGTGCCAGTCCCGGCCTCGCGGGGATGGGGGGCCCGGCCCTGCCGGCACGGGGAGGACGGGGAGGGGGGACGGGGGGGGCTGGCTCCAGAATAAAGTTTATTTATTCTAGTGCCTGGCTCGTTATTCTTCTGGGGGTACCGGGGAGGAGGGGGAGCAGGGGTGGGGAGGAGATGGTCAGGCTGTGGCACCCCAAGCCCTGTTTGGGCAGTGGGGTGTTCTTTGCTGCGGGAGGGCAGCCCAGGGCCCCCCATATTGCTCTCCATGACTGCTCATCCCCAAAGGCTGGGACAGAACCCTTTGGGGTCCCCCCCAGTACCCTAAAGCTCGGACCTTCCCACCCCAATGCCACAGTCATGTCCCTCTATGCCAGGGGCCAGCCCTGATGCATTTGTGACACTCCCAGCACGGGGTCTGGGGGCAGCCCTGGCCTCCCCCGTGCCGGGCTGGGGGGTCAGGGGTGTTCCTGCCACTGCGCAGGGATGGGACCTGTTTATTTTCTTTTTGTCCGTATTTTTTTTCCAGCAGCTGCCGGGTGAGGCCTGTCCGCCGCCCACAACAGGAACCGGGGGCAGCGGGGCACGGCCCAGCTCGGCCCGGCGCGGATTCCCTGGCACGGCAAGGGCCGAGACCCCTCTGGGCCCGGAGACCCGCTGTCACCGCCGGGCTGAAACCGGCCACAGCTCGTCGCAGCCGGTCACACGGTGAGGTCCCCCCGCGGGTGGGGACCACAGGGTCCCTCCGCAGCCCCCGCCGGCTGCCCGGGCGCCGGGCCCCGCTCCTGCGGCCGGTGGCAGCAGCCGGGCCGGGCCGGGGGCCCCTTGCGCAGGAGGTGGGCGAGCTCGGCCAGGCTGAGCAGCGCCGAGACCAGCCCCACCACGAAGTAGAAATGGATGAAGACGGTTTTCTCGGTGGGGCGGGAGACGAAGCAGTCGACGCGGTGCGGGCAGGGCCGGCGGCGGCACACGAAGAGCGGCTGCACCCTGAAGCCGTAGAGCAGCGCCTGGCCCAGCAGGAAGCCCAGCTCGGCGGCGATCCGCGCCACCACGCTGCCCACGTAGAAGGGCTGCAGGCGGCGGGCCCGCTGGCCCGGAGCCCCCCCGCGCCCCGGCTTGGCCGCCTGGTGCACGGCGAAGATGACGAAGAGAGCGGCGGGCGCCGAGAGCACGACGATGTGGAAGACGAGGAAGCGATAGTGCGAGATGGGGAAGGCGGCGTCGTAGCACACGGGTTTGCAGCCCGGCTGCTGCGTGTTACACACGAACTCCTCCTGCTCGTCCTCGAAGACGTCGCTGCCCACGGTGGCCAGGACCAGGATGCGGAAGAGGAGCATCACCACCAGCCAGAAGCGGCCCACCATGGGCGAGTGCTCCTGCACGGCGTCCAGCAGCGAGCTCAGGAAGCCCCACTCGCCCATGGCCGCGCTGCGGGAGCGGGGTCAGCGCTGGGGGGACGCAGGGACCGCCAGGTCGGACCCCGGTGGCAGCACAACCCCTCCAGCTCTCCATCCCCACGCCATTCCCAAATGGGAGGGTGCCAGGCACTGCCAGGAGTGTCCCCAGTCACCTGCTGTGTGCAGGACTCGCTCCCCCAGGGATGTGTCCCAGGACACCGACAGAGGCCGGACCAGCGATTCCCCATCCCCAGGCACCTGCTGTGCCCAGGACTCGCTCCCCCAGGGATGTATCGAAGGACACAGACAGAGGCAGGACCAGCGATTCCCCATCCCCAGGCACCTGCTGTGCCCAGGACTCGCTCCCCCAGGGATGTGTCCCAGGGCACCGACAGAGGCAGGACCAGCGATTCCCCATCCCCAGTTCCCTGCACAGCTCGGCCTGGCTGAGCTGTGCTCCCCCGCTACAGCCCCGTACCTGCGTGGGCTGCGGTTCCCGGTGTGCCAGCGCTGCTGGCGCCGGCTCTCCAGGGCAGTCCAGGACTGTCCAGTCTCTTTGTCCAGCTGGGATGGGATAATGGTCCCACAGCCACGCCTGGAGTCCTTTTAAAGGGACAGAACACCCGCAGGGGCGCCCGGAGGGAGGGAAGGGCTCAGCGCTGCCGGTGGGGGCTCAAGGACAAAAGCTGCCCTGCCCAGGGCCAGCAGCTGCCTGGTTGAGAGAGGGGTGGTGGCCCCCCCAGTGCAGAAATGCCCCCAAACTTTGTCCTTCCCAAACCCACAGGGCCTCAGGGTGCCCAGGCCACAGCACTCGGTCCCCAAAAGACCCCCCCACTGCTGGCATCACCCCCCTGACACATCAGAGCCTGGGTACCCCCAGCCCTGCAGTGCCTGGGGGATGCTCACAGCTGGCACCAGCCCTCTCTGCCCCAGGACGCTGTGCCAGGGCTGTTGGGGGTCCCATGGATCTTCCCAGCTTGTCCCCAGCTCTGGCACGTGTAGACTAATCCCTACAAAATCCTGTGTGGCACGGCCAGGGCTCCTGCCAGCCCCTGCCCAGTGCTGACAGCGTTTGGTGAGCTCTCAAATCCCCTTTCCAGTAATGAGAACAGAGCCCTGGAAAACACAGGTCACCCTCAGAGCCCCCCTCACCCCTTGGGGAAGTGCAAAGTGCCTGATGCCCCAGAGCCCAGCTCCCATCCCAACAGCATCCCCATCCAGCATTTTGGGATGGGAAACTCCTGGTTTGGTCTCCGTGGGGCACTCTGTGTTCCCAGAGCTCTACATCCACACGAGGGTGATGGCAGAGCTCAGAGAGCAGCCCCACAGCCCACCCGTGGCTCTGTCTGCAGCAAGAGGAGCTGTAAATAGCCCGGCCTGCAGAGGGGACGCGCCGGAGACGCTCTCCAGAGCCAGTGGAAAATCTGACAGAGCTTTCCACACTTGACTGGGCTCCAGCAAAGCAGCGATAGCACGGGGGGCCCTGGGGTTTCATGGAATGGTTTGGATGGGAAGGGAGCTTAGGGCTCATCCAGTCCCATCCCCTTCCACAGGCACCTTCCACTAGAGCAGGATGCTGCAGCCTGGCCTTGGACACTTCCAGGGATGGGGCAGCCACAGCTGCTCTGGGCAAGCAGCTCCCCCCGTGCTGGGGACCACAGGGGTGTTCACAAGAATTCAGCTGTGGAGCCACAGTGGCCACAGCCAGTGGGGAAGTGGCCAAGCAGCCCAGCACCCCCAGAAATTGTGCCACGCCCTCTGCTCTGACAGAGGGAGAGCTTAGCACAAGCTCTGCAGTTGTTATTTCCCAAAAAAATGCACAAAGTGAAGAAAATAAGTAAAAACACTTTTATTAGACACATACTTAAACAAACTCAGGACAACAAGAACAAACACAGAAATATTTACATAGTGAAGGAATAGTGCTGGAAAAATGACTTCAGCTCACCTGTGTTGGGTGGTAGAATTCAAAATTGATGTATTCTAGTACTATAAGACATTTCAAGAGGGATGTATAAATTTTAAAGGATCTGGCATGTTCTAAAGTCAACTTTAACACTAAAATGACCACAAAGTGTCAAATAATGGGGAAGAGGGAAGTGTGGCAGTACTTGCTGGGCACGTGGCTCCAGTGTTCACCAAAAAGGGGATGTTCCCGTTTAAAAGAAATCTAACTTACTTAAAACCAAGAAAAAACCAGCTCTGTTCACCAGTAATGAACAGAGTGGCTCACATTTGATGAAGATTTCCTAGGCTGAGATGGTCTTTGGTGGGAGCTCTGGAGCGCTGCTGAAGGCTTGTTGTGGATCTGGAGTTTAAAATTTTCCTAAGAACTCAAAACAGATCATCCTCAGAGGACTCCTCCAGGTACTGGACAGGTTTTTTGGCACGGCCAGGCCTGGCACGGGGCTGAGGTGCAGGGCTTTCATCAGCAGAGTCAATGGTGAAGGTGTCTTCCAGTACCTTGGATTTCTGGAGGGAAAGCAGGAAAGGAATCATGGATGTGAGCACCCACAGGGAACACCATGAGCAGCACACGCCTGCTGTGCCATGGGGATGGTGGGAGCAGACCAAGGGTGTGTGACCCTTGTGGGGGAAAGGTTCTTATCCCAGAGGGTGCTGGGCACTGCCCAGGCTCCCCAGGGAATGGCCACAGCCCCAAGCACAGGGTGGGATTGCTGGGGTGTCCTGTGCAGGGCTGGGAGTTGGACTCTGATCCTTGTGGGTCACTTCCAGCTCAGAATATTCCACAATTCCATGACCCCCCTCTTCCCCATTCCCCACACCCAGGTAGAGGTTCGACCTCCACCAGCTTTTCCTGACAGAAGAACCCACCCCACACTCTGCAGTTCCCTCACTGCACAAACCTTTGATGCAACAGATTTGGCAGGCTTTGAGCCAAAATCCGAACCAGAATCCGAATCCAGAGGGCTTGGCTGCCTCTTGACAGCCTTCCTCCCCTTGGCGTTGTCACCCTGGGCGTGCAGGGGTCCCTCCTTGGCTGCTGGCTTGGCTTTGGGTGCAGCCTTTTTCTTGGCCAGGATATCCATGATGGAGGGCTGGTTGTCTGGAACAGAGCACGGTGTTAAACCCCTGTTTTGCTCCTCTCTCGTTCCCAGTTTGGGAATTTCTTCCAACAGAAACAGGCTCTGTGCTGCTGAGGGGTCAGTGCACAGGTCGTCTCTGTTTGAAGCTGGGTTTTCTAGAAAGATCTCTCTTCCACAGATGGTGAGGAATGAGGTTGTTTATCTGCTCAGTTCCACTACATTTAGAGGATCAAATTAAAGCGTCCCCAAAGCAATTTACAGACTATTTCAGATTGAAAAGTCCTGATCTCTCCAGGCTCCATAACCCATCTCAGACCTTCACAATCCTGCACAGCAAGGAAGGAATTTCCCAAACACTCAACTCATTCCTTCTTACCTACATTTTCACTTTTTAAAAGAGCATCTTGAAGCACAGCTTCCATTTCAGGCCATTTCTGAGTGATAACATGCTTTCTCAATTTAGGAATGGAAGTAACACTATTTTCCTGCTGGGATCAACACCGAGTTGATTCCATTTGGAATATACAAAACAATGTCAAAGTCTGGGGTTTAAAAATCCCTGAGTCAAATGCTGGAGATGGATCCAGCACTGAATAGATCAAACTACCCCCAAAAACTTGCCTGCTTTCTTCCCAAAAAGACACGAAGTAGGACATTGACTTCAAGACACAAATTCCACTCAGATTGTCCCTGCCAAGTATTACATAGCACTGTAGGAAGCATTCACTTTTCCTGTTCCCAAACTAAAATTCCCTCCCTCCTAGCATGTCCAACATGAACTAGAACACGATATGTTTGGAAACAGACCTCAAACATGACAACCAGAGAACCTCTGCCACAAACCTCAGATCTTTGCTGAAATGCAAACTCCAGTTGCCCAGGCCCTGGAAGGCCAAGCGAAATCACTCGGGCTGTTTCCCACAGGAATTATAATTGTTCTCTAAAACTGAAGTTGCTGAGCTGCCCTTACCCTTGGTGGCTCCAGCCTTCTTGGCTGCAGTAGTTTTTTTGGGCACGGCCTTGGTGCTCGGCACTGGGACGGATGGAGCTGCAGGAGCCTGGCTCACCTTGTCCTCAGGGACATCTTGGACTGGAACAGGATAAGGAAAGCAGAAAGTCAGCCTGAAACAGCCAAATTATCCCCTCTGCTCTTCCCTGTGCACTGCTGAGGGATTATAGAGCAATGCACGTGGTTTAGAGGTCTCACACTCACCAGGAACAGCACTTGGCACTGCCTTTTGCTCGGGAGCTTTTGCTGCTTTTTCAGTGGTTTCCCTGGAAAACAAAACCCCAAGTTTTTAATTCAGTTTATGAGGCACTAAATAGGGGAATTTAAAAAAAAAAAATTGCTTTTAACTTCTGTGTAGCATTAAGCACAACTAATTTCCAGTGATTATGGAAAAATACTCACTTGGGAGCAGGTTTGGGCTTGGGAGGAGCCTTTTTCTTAGAGTTTGTGTCCAATTCAGAGTTGCCTTCACTGTCACCCTGGAATTCAGAGTCCTCATCTGAGCTGGAGTTATTTGAGTCTGAAATGACCATGGGCTTGACTTTGGCTGATGGAAGAACACAGACGTGTTATTTTACACATTTGGCAAAATGCAGCTCTGTTGATTTTTCAATATTTTAGCTACAGTTATTAAAAAAATAAAGACCTGAATAAAAACAAGCAGATGCTGAGACTGCCAGGGAGAAGACTCCAAATAACAAAGTGTGTTCTGTCATTTGGAGGCTTCCAACCTCACCCACAACACATTTAATGTGCCAAGACAGTTGTGTAATTAAACCAAATAGCCATATTTCTCTAGTTGCCCATTTCTGCTTTTCCTTGAAAATGTGCACAAATGGTAGAAATATTTAATAGTTTCTGACAGTAAAATAAAGAAGCCTTTAAAAGATGATTTCTAAATGTGATCTGAGGCTCTGGGAGGTCCCAAATAGTCTGTCCCATTTACTCCTCCACAAGGAGGACCATCCTTCTCCTGCATCCATGTCCTCACTCACCTGCTGCCTGGCGAACCGCTCGCTCTCTTTGAGGAGGTGCTTCAAAGTCAGACTCTGAATCAGACCCTGAGTCAGACCAAGGGTTTCGTTTCTTGGCTTTCTTTAATGGCTTGAAAGGCAGAGTGGCCTGTTTCTTGGCTCCTGAAAAATATTGGGAGGCAGGATGAACCAGAAAACTTCCATGTATAGTTCAGGCTCAGCAGTTCAAGCTCAGCTTAGAAATACACTGAATTCAGAGGATTGTGGCTTAAACAAAGAGAAATAGGAATCTATCCTGCTTGACTGTTATCCAGGATCACTTTCTCACCCAGTTTTTCCAAAACTACTGATCCTAGATGTTGCTCACCACCCTCAGGAAGAGGTCAGATAACCAAACTGACAACCCTTTCCCTCTTTTCCTTGGAGGAAATAACATCAAAGCATTTACCTTGCTCAGTCTTCAGCTTCGGTGCTAATCTCTTCT